GGGGGGGGGGGGGGGGGGAGGGGGAGTGAAAAATAGAGAAAATTGTGGACATACAAAATTTACCTAAAATCCTTACCACTGTACGGAAATATGCGATTATCGCTGAATTAAGTGAAATTAAAATGAAAACGACAGATCAACCAACATTATCTCCGTTACAATTTTAGCATCAGAAATCTATTGTATCGAAGCTATTGTAAATAATGTAAGAATTGAGAGTATTGAATGAGATTTAAGCAATAATAATAATTCAACTTCAAGTAAAAAAAAACATGTTTGACTGCAGCAAGGAGCAATGTTTCGGTCTCGTCTATCAATTATTTGAAAACCCTGATTGAAAGTTCCATTTATTCGGCGATAAATTAGTGAAGTTTTGATTTATTTTTCTGAGAGAATCTGGTGGGATGAATCGATAAAATTGTTTTAGAAATTCATTAGTTCACTAGGGATTGTGGAAATTTCTAGGGGGCATATGGGCAGAATGAATGTACGAAAAAATAGCGGAAGGAAAAAATAGCCGATGTGTAGTAACACGCGTCGTGTGTGGTAAACGACAAAATGACCGTTCATTTTCGGTCATTTTTTCCGCCTACCCCGAAAATGACCGCTCATTTTGTCGTCTACTACGCACAACACGTGTTACACCCATCGGCTATTTTTTCCTTCCGCTATTTTTTCCGGCTACCGGGCAGAATCGACTTTTTACTGTTTTTATCGAACAAATTGTTAGGGAGCTTTCAAATTATCGGATTAAAACAATTAAATTGCGAGTGATGAATTTTTATTACGAGAAAATTAATTAAATTTAGAGAAATCAATTACATGAATTCATCGGCTGTCTTGCGGATGGATTTTTATTGATAGAAATCAGTAAAGTTATCTTTTATCCTTCATATTTTTATTTTATCAGTGGGCGATTGACAATTTATTGAGAAGAAGATTATTCTTCGCTGCATTACTAAGTAGACTTGAACAATCAAATGATAAATTTGACGATCTCCGATGAAAATCAGTGAGAATAAATTTGAAAATTGGATGAGGACGACTGCAACCGATTTATTGGTGTTTTATCATAACCTTTCCTTTTCTATCATCAAACTTTATATTTCAATGTACAGACACTCTGTACTTTTCGAAACGGTTTAGTATGCGTAAAGCAGGTGTTCCCTGCACGGGATGAGTAAAGTTCACGAGCATGCGTAAAGTGAATTCTCGTGCATAGAGCAGGGATGGCCATCAATATTATATTTCTTCTATATTAAAAGGATTTGCGACTTACATTGATAAATGTTTAAATATACTCATCAAAAATAAAAAATAATAATAGCGAAGTGGTAAAGCGGTTTAAGTCAACTCATCTCCCAGTTAAGTTTTTGAGGAATATTTCTGAATCTAAGAGAGATAGCGAAATTTTCGTGATTACATTTGTTGTAGCCCTCAATCGGCTCTACAAAAAAGGACAACAAAAAATTTGCTATTTCCCTTCGATTCCGAGGTATTCATTGAAAACTGGCTAATAGTCAAAATTGACTTGAACCGTGTTACCACTTCGCTACTGATATAATATTAAAAGTTTAAATTTGCGATTGATGAGGAATTCAATATTTGATGATATAGAACTGTAAATTTTCCATTGAGGGAATATTTCTAATTTCTTAAAAGGGATTATCCATTAATCAAATAATCGGCAGTTTTCCCACCTAAATTTTTGATTAATAAAATAATTAAAATTTGAATATTTAAATTGATGATTATTTGCATAATTAAAAGTGTAAGAGTGATGTTAACTAATTGATGGCTTCAAAATTTAACGGTAATTATGATTTATGAATATGTTTATCCCTGGCATAGAGCTTCGCTTTACGCAGTCGAAATTCACTTTATACACACTCTTAAATTTTACGCATTCCTTCCCAAAAACAACCGTTTTACCCCCACTACCATTCCGACCAGTGAACTCGGGAGAGGTCACCTTTTTCGCATAGCGTGATGAAATAGTATATTTCGTAACGAGTGCAAAAAAGTGTTTTTTGGCGAGTGGGTGTTTTCTCGCCTTCGGCTCGTGATATAATCCCACGAGCTAAAAAACATTTTTTCACGAGTTACGAACAATATTTTTCATCACACTGTGGCGGAAATCGGACTTTTAGGCACGCGGAGCGTGCCGAAAAGTTCACTTTTCGTCACAGCGTGATGAAAAATATTGTTCGGATACACGTGCGACGGGGTGCGGCGGGGTCGCACTTGTATCGAAATATATTATTCTGAATAAAAATGGAAAGTGTTACTTACAACCATAAGTGATCAATAAATTCTTCGATATTCTTCGCTCAATTTCATGTTTTTCTAACAAAAATGCCTGCATACCTAGTGAGGAATAGCAACTCAAGGTCCGCTCCATCATTCGCAAGAATAAAGAAATCGCCAAAAGTAGTAATTTTATTTCACCCCTTATTCATTGCTTCAACTCGAATTAATTGATTTTATAAATAAAATGAAACATAATGATGAAGTGATCGGTGCAGGAAAGTCGAAAAATGCGATTGTCACGTTTGTTTCGATGTTGATATGCTGTGATGTTATCCTTTGAATCGCAAAGATCTAAAAGAAAAACCATTAAAAAAATTATTAAATATAATTAGTTTCTTTATATCCTTGTTTTTCTGGCGTCGATTGTTGGATAAGTTCCTGGTCCTCCATGTTTTCTGATGTTTTGGAGTGATTGGTACGTGATGGAAACATTCGAGTCTTCGGAAATGATCACCATTCACACTGTGTTGCCTGATATTTTGGGGCGACTGGCACGTGATGGGAGCATTCAAGAGTCTTTGGGCATAATCAACATTTACGCAAGTTGAGACAGAATTCTTTCGATGATCAATCAGAAATTTAATTTATTGAAAATATGAATAATTAAGAAAATGTTATAGAAAAGAAGAGAAAAATCGAAAGAATTCACACCTGACGCGGCTGTGGTCTGACGACTGTCAGGGCTCATGGAACGCAAGTTTAACGATAAGGAATAAATACATAATGTTAAATATTGGGCGCCAGCTAGTTTTATCGACAAACTAAACGAAGAGGAAATAATCGATTCAATGAAAGATGAAATACAATGATAGGTTCGATTGGGAAGACCAAAATAAATTAAAAGAATCGAGAATTGAATATGACCAGAAAATATAATTCGACAGAATAGCACATTTCGACACGAGGCCATGAGAAACTTTTCTGGTGAATATGAGCTTACAGGACGAACCAAACGCGAGTTTTGTAATCTGTAACGTGACATTTTCGTATGGGGGTCAAAAATGTCTATTACCTTCGCCCTTCTTCCCCTTCATCTAGTTAAACTCAAAATGCAAAAAAAATCCATGGGCGCCAGGTAATTTTTAACCGGAATTACCAAACCGGACGAATCCACAAAATCAACTCTACTAAGTCGAAAAACTAAAACGTACAAAAAAAAAGGAGGAAACTAGATTTTTGGGGAAAGGCAGCGGTCCCTGGTTCGCTCAGTGTGCTAGGTTGTGGAGAGAGGGGTGGATTTCAGGCGGAGACGGGTATTGGGTGGTTAAAACTACAAAAAAAAAGAGAAGAAATCGGTATTGTCCTTACTTGTTTCACTATTGAAATTAGTCAATCACCAATTTTTCAAAAAAAGACATTTCAATTCTCTCAAAAAAAAAAA